GGGACTTTTGAATGTACCTTCATTATTTAAAAATGTTAATTATTTCATGTGTATCGTAAATGTATTAACTTCTGTGACTCTGGGGAGTAACAGTTATAAGAGGGGGGGTGTGTGACAAAGCAGGTTCCTTTGTCCCTTTTTAATGCCATTTTTATTGCATGTATTACCTGTTGAAGAGGGTGTGTCTCGGACAGCCATTTTGTTTTGTAGGCAAACCCTTGTGGGCGGAACTACAATGATAAAAGCTCACAGGTGAACCTCGTCAGGAGTCACACCCAAGGGACAGGACTGTTTATTGTGCAAAAATAAATCTGTTTCATCAATATTATTTTAATATGCGTTCTGCCGTCTCATTTTGACTCTCGGGCCAGCTTCCCCACATAGGCGCTGGATTGAGGCTCCAGTCTCCTCGGAGGCGTGGGTTCAGATCCCACCGCTGCCACCATTTGTGAGGTAGTGTAGCAAGAGTGGTCAAAGTGGCAGAAGTACAAAACAAAGGCTCCAAATCTTGTACCAAAAAAGGTGGATTTATTTACAGTGCTCCCAAATGTACATGTTCTCTCTCCAAAACCAACATGGAAAGTGCCTCTCCTCTCTCTAGAACAGCCCGCACACCTGGCATATATACCCGGCCTAAATTGACTGGCTCCTCCCACTCGGCTGGAATATGCTCTTATATACAGTAATATGTATCTGTAAACATAAACAAGCAGCAATTACTGCACAGACAGCAACAAAGCATGCACACAGTTAAACAACAATGATGCAAATCAACATTAAACCCCTAAACCAGGTTAATTATCAAACCCCTCCTTTAAATGGGTGGAGCTAGACAGAGGGCTCACTCCAAAGGGGTTAAAACCAGGAAATGCTCTGCGGCCCTCCCCTTTAATCTGCTGCCGCATGGAGCAGGTAAGTTAGACGAAAGGTGCCCTCTAGACAAATGAATAAACATGTTTAAACCTTACTATAGTGTTTGGTGTTTTTAACAAGCCAACTGCTGCCAATGGAATGTATGTATGTGAATGAGTGAGTATGTGGAACTGACAAACTTACACAAACAAGGCCCAGGATATGAGAGTGTATTTGACAGAACCTGTGTGTGTGTGTGGAACCAAGGGTGTATTAAGGGACAAGTGGAGTTGTAAGACTCACTTCGTCACATACGTTCTGTTGGAGGAATCCTATAAAATCTTTCACCTCCCTCACATCCTGTCATAGTGGGGACTTTTTGATTACTTTTACCTGGTTTTATTTGCAGTGATTGAGTTTACCAATATATTTTGAAATATTGGTTATCAGTGTCTCTCCCCTTGTTGGTTCGAGTCCTGTTATATCCCAGATTCTGTTATTTTCATGCTTTGTTTTTATTAAATCTTTGTCTTTTTGGCAGTCTTGCATTTTGGGTCCTCCTGTTTTCACCACGTAACACATCCCCACCCACTGCTCTGTACTTGTGCAATTGTTCCTTTCAATGCAACTACAGCCGATTCGCTTCCAGCTCAGTCTACAATTCTGGATTCACATAGATTTCGACCAATCGATGTTGTCTGGATTGACCACTAACAAGTTTTTATCAGAAAACAATTTAAAAGCATTGACATTGACTCGAATTAATAATGTATCGGGGTTTTTTTTGGACACTCCAAAATGTAATTATTCATTCAATTCATACACAGTGGTGATAAACTACAATTGTAGCCACAGCTGCCCTGGGGCACACTGACAGAAGCGAGACAACCAGTATATGCCACCAACCATTCACACACACACCAGATTCTAAGCAATCTAAGACACTTTACTGCTGCAGCCGCCCCACTGTACAATACAATACAATACAATACAATTTATTCTTGTATAGCCCTAACTCACAACAGAAGTCATCTCAGAGGACTTAACAAAACCATTGAAATCACCAACACAGGTCAGAGAATCAACAGTTAAAACACATGAAGAATATAAAGCACACACAGAAAAAAATGTCCATACATGTTGTAGAATGCTAAAGTGTCCTGATCATCACCAATCCTTTCTGTTGGACACTAACTGTCCAACAAGACCCTCCTGCATCGACAAGGAAAAACTCTTAAAAAACCCAGTGGGAAAAAGTGAGAAACCTTGGAGGAGAACTAGGGAAACCCACAGGGAGGGAGACCCATATGAGAAAGGGATCCGCTCCTCCGGACGGACAGGCTAATGATCTAGGACCTAAGCTAGCTACAGGACGTGGACCAGTGGCCGCTGAACGTGGACAGGTGCAGGACTGAAGCACTCCCAGGCGGGTCGGGCGGGGCAGTCCGCAGGTGTAGATGGAGGAGGCCAGGCTCAGAGATCCCGTCATCGTACCATGAAACAGACAATGGGACAACGGGTGAATAGCAATGAACAAACTACAGTCAGAATCCTAAAAATGCTAAACAGATAAAGTAGGAAGGAGGAGAGGATAGTGCTCAAGTTACCATACTTCTCCCAGCAAACTGACTCCCTATGCAGCTTGACTAACACTCTGAGGAGTTTAACCTTCTCCGAGTCTTACCTTCCTAGCCATATGCTAAACTATAGTGATGTGCTGAGCGGACCGAGTCTTCGAAGCGTGGACCGAGTAATCTGGGGGCGTTTCTTGTGAAGTGTGGGTCGAGGCGTGTATTGGTCACGTGTGTGGTGACGTTCGAAGCCTCGCGTAGCGGCCGCACCACGTGACGGTTCATATAGTGCTTCATATAGTTCGGAGAGTGCATTGCTTTGACAGGTGCTTTGTGATCCGCGGCTGTACCATAGACTGTATTGGCTGTCCCCGTCTGCCTCTGTGTGCGTACGTGTGTGTGCGTGATGTGGAGCAGTCCTGTACTAAGTATAGAGAAACTACTTCATATGAAATACAATTAAAAACGTTTCACTTTAGTAAAACCTCATATATCAAGGCTTCAAGTTATTAGTAATAATACGCTGGATAATACATTTCACAACAGCTGTGTGGCGCAGTCGGTATATGACGGACTCCGAAGCAGAAGATATAGCGTTCGAATCCTGGTCTACCCATAATAAATTTTGTGTTGCAAAGTAAATGTATTTATTTATTGGGAATAAATGGTTTGTTGTGTTTAATTAATCCACCTCTTGGTAGTTTTTCCTCCATTAATCACTTTCTGTAGAACTGTATTACTTTGGATGTGTTTGTTGTATCAACACAATTGACTGAAAGACTCAAATAGTTCATAGTTCATGAAGCATCATTTCAAACACAACACGTTAGACCATAGATTGTAAATATACATTTTAACATTAGATCTCACCATTCATTGTAAGCACTTAAGAGTGTTATGTATTATTTTGTCCACATGATGGCGTAGTGGAGCATGATTCACCTCGAGCCTTCGACTCATGGGCCGAGTAATAGGCTGCGATCCCTCAAGGCTTCATGGGGCTTCATATTGCCATCACTACTAAACTAAAGAGGACTGTTTTAAACCTAGCCTTGAATAAAGAATAACATACAGCATAATATATAACATAATATACAACATAACACAATACATTATTGAATAATATATAACATAATATATAACATAATACAGCATATATATATAATATATACACTACATATTATATATTACCTAATTATATGCTAAATTAAAGTAAAGTGCTTTAAGCCTGGCCTTGAATGTGGAGACCGTATCTGCTTCCCACTGTGGCACCTATTGTTGCCGACGTCTCCCATGACAGTACTAATCAGGCCCTGCCCTGCATAGCTTCAGAGGCCTGACGGGATAGAAGCCACTAAAGCAGCACTTTACCTGGAAGAAAGCTTGACATGTAGTACAAGTATTATTTCTTCTTTTTTTCTTTCAAATCCAAATCTATTTCTTGTAATTTCTTGTCAGTTCATTCCTAAAGTTTCCTGCTTGTCACACTCCTCTGATCACTGCATGCATCAGTGTAATTTGTCCAATATTAATTCTAGATATTCCTACACGCGTGTCTGATATCTGTGACACGTTTACTTTTCCTATTGATACTTGCTCATTAGGACATCGCTGCGGTGATTTGGGAGCACAAACATTGACGGTCTTTTGGCATTAGAACAGGGTTAATAGCATTCACTTATCATGATGCAGGAGGCTTCTGGGTAATTGGTGCTGATGACAGGTGCACAGGACATAACTGGAGCAATGGGGTTGTCCAATTTACACAAACTCTTTGGGTAAAAACTCCCAAAAAGTGAATGCATTAAAAAGTCTGAAGTCTGGACGAGTTGGATCTACAGTATGGAAGAAGGATCCAAATTTGTGTAAATAATACAAACATGTGCCAATGTGAGCTCAATTCAATTTCATGTATTTATGTATAGCCCTAGTTCTCTCTGAGGACTTTGCCAACAGAGATCAAAGAATTATACAGTTCAGACATGAGAAATACATAGAAAACACATTGGTATTGGTCCATAAAGGGCAAATGACCAATGTCCATAAATGTTGTGGGATAATGAATGTCCTGGATCATCTTCATTGTCCTAGGATCCTCCTGAATTGGCAAGGAAAAACTCTTAAAAACCTAGCTGGCTCGTTGGATATAGATTACATAATTACTTGAACATATTCAATATATGTTTGTGCTCATCAATCAAAATGAGTGTTATCGTAGGGCACTTTAAAAACGACTAAAACAAGGCAACAGGGGGTTGAAAGGCAAAAGTACTTGAGTTTCCAACCAATTTACGCTCCTATCCTCATCTATGGTCATGAACTTTGGGTAATCAAAGCCCCCAACCAACACTCTTCATTCATTCACTCACTCATTACAGTCATTCCTATTGTGCATGGTTTTAGTGGCAGGAGAAACACACAAAGGAAACCAGAGCACATGGAGGAAACCTACGCAGACGCATTATAAACACACAGACTGTTAAGGCAACTACAATGTAAAATTATTTTAGGAGCAGAATTTCCTCGCAGCCTTGAGCCTCGTCCACACTGTCACGTGACCTGTCCTGAGAGTAAACCATGTCCGCATATACCCACAGCAGTGCCCCCCGGGGTCGCGGAGGGGAAATGGGTTGGATTTGTGTTCTGCAGGTTATTAGCGCCGCTGCACCTGTCTGCCTGTGTCCTCACATACAGACGTGTGGAGCTATAACAGATCGTGTCCTGGGGGGGGCGCAGGTGCACAGGGGTCAGGGGGGGTTCAATGGGGATCACATGCCTGTCCTGGAGTCACCTGCCCGGCCAGTGTGTGGTCTGTGGCCGGCCTGGGGGTCAGCAGCTCCCTGGACGCTCTGCCCAATGGTCACTGCACCTGCTCAGTGGGAAGACGATAGACTTTGAAGAGGAAAAATTGACAGTTGTGCTTGGAAGTTTGTACACTACATTTAATATAAAAAATATGAATAATAACAATTTAGTGGCCATTTATTGTCTTATTTCAAATTATTATGACAACATAAACTACTTTTCTCACCCCAACCCGGGAGTATTATACCCTTTTTATGACAGTTTGGTAAAAAAAATAAACCATTAATTTATAGATGGATTTTCATCCCATTCATAAATCCATTTCAGGGGGTGCCACTTCATCTTCACAGCACCAGCCCCTCACTGATCCTCCTGCAGGAGGTGGGTCCATAGGAGGATGGGTGCTCCATCAGTGACAACACAGCCCTTTCAGCAGGGGCTTCAGGCAATGTACAGTTAACTGTCCTGCCCAGGGACACAACAACAGCAGACATCGGTGGGAGATGTAGTCTGTCTACAAACTCTCTGAAATTCTCTGAATAATTTGCATTTGAGATCCTCAGAACGGCTCATTTAATGAATTGGCTAATTGAGACCATTTGTCATTTCAAATAGACTTTGAAAATAAAAAACATGTTATTTTGACACTAAATGGCTTCACACAACCACTAACAACAATGTGTTTGTGTTTTCATTCATAATCTCCACTGTATGGCCAAAACCATTAAATCTACGGCCGTTTCTGTACAATTTCAAGCACAGCTGTAAGTGAAGCTTAAGTTAGTTAAAATGTCATCTCTGATTTTGAAATATCCTGCAGCATCCCTCAGACTAAAGATGCATTATTTGCTCAGAAGTTTTGGCTGCAGTTGATATTTTTGGATATGAAAAGCATCCATTTGCATAATGTTAGGCATATGGTTCACTGTGGTGTGCAAGTGCAAGGTGAGCGCTGATGTCAGTCTGGAGAAATTCCAGAAGGAGAGGGGGAGGGGGAGGATACAGGAGACCTCTGAGAAGGGTCAACGGTCAGGGCCCCACACTTGTCAGCTCTGTCCACTGTTTTTGATCTGAACTTGGGTCAATATGCAAACCACCAAACCTTGCGAAATAATTAGCTTTTTTCTACATTGTCATTAAAACTCTTGGTGTAAATTGTTGTTGGTGTGAAATAATGGATAATTAATGGCTAAAAACAGAAGTGTGCAAAGGGAGCAGAGGGTGTGGATTCCAAGGACAGGTCATGAGGCTCCTCCATTCCCACAGCAGGTGCACTGAGCAGAGTGAGTGGTCAAATACAGGAGCTGTCATTCAAATGTGGTTGAATTAGAAAACAGTGGTGAAATGTAAGTGTACACATTTAGTCTGGGGGCTTGAAACATTGGTTAATAAACAGGAGTACTTAATTTTCTATCCAACTAGTTTGGTTCAATCTATCAATCGTTTGCATGTATTTTGGCCTCATAATTGAATACAATTTTTTTTCCGGACAGAAAAGTGACAAAGGGAGGACCCCTCTCACTCACACTACTGCTTTTTACAAGTTTACCAAAGATTAAGAGGTTGTGGTCAGGTTGTGTCTATGAGACAAACGTTATATGGTTATATATGAAAAGAAAAGATTACCTTACCTATGTTACCTATATTTAAATGCATAATGTACAAAATACTAAGGAACATAATGTATGTTTATAAATAAATAAAAGTACAACAGAACTTTCTGACAGCTTAATACTATTGCATCAGTTTTATACAGAGCTTTTCAATCCATACACAGATAATGAACTACTTCTGTAGCCACAGCTGCCTTGGGGTATACTGAAGCGAGGCAACCAGTATGTGCCATTGGCCCCTCTGAACACCCCCAGCCATTCACACAGACACACCAAACTCATAGACAATGTATGGACATTATCTTCTGTGTGTGCTTTATATTCTTCATGTGTTTTAACTGTTGATTCTCTGATCTGTGTTGGTGATTTCAATGGTTTTGTTAAGTCCTCTGAGATAACTTCTGTTGTGACCTAGAGCTATACAAGAATAAATTGTATTGTATTGTATTGTACATATATGAGGACTCGATGTGCAACCTGTCTCAATTGATGGACTTCAAGGGTCCTCAAGGTCCTACAGAGTGAATAAATGAAAAATCACTAGTTGCCAGAAAACTTACTGTATGATTTCACTTTATATTTGACTATAATAAAAATGTTTATCTGCCACCTACAGAAACCCACACGGCGTAAAATAATATTGAAATAACCCATCATTATAGCAACTAAGGCAATTCCAGTGAAGCAAATACAAGTGATAAACTGCCCTTCCTGATAATAATAGTGCCTTTTGCTGAATATTCAACTTTGAAAACTTTTGACTATTCCCTCTATTTACTTCTCCTCAAAATGCATGTAAAAAATGCTAACTTTCCATTCGCCTCTGCTTCCCCTGGGCCCGTGCGGTTGTGTGCGTGTTGGCGAAGAAGAAGTAATTCCGGCTGATTCGTTCCCAGTCACACATCCAAATGAGCGTCTATGAGAGGCACCAGCAGGGGTCCTGAGGCCTCCCAGACGCTGCCCCTGCTCGCCCCATGCCGCCTTTGAATTTATGCAAAATGGACTGTAAACGGAGTCCAAACAAAACAGCAGGTTATTTGTGCATTGGACACGCAGCTCATCTGCCCCACAACAGCAGCCCTAGACCCGCACCGACCTCCAGAGACCGAGAAGGACGTCGCAGAAGATAATGGCCTGGCGAAAAGTGCAGGCAAATGGGAGGATTTGAATTGTGGTTGCACGGAGACTTGTTGGGATTTAAGTAATGCTGCTGCTTCTCATAGGGAAATCTCTAATGTTCTATGGACCAGCGATTCAAAGACTGCTATAAAACGCAGTCAAATCAGTGGGTGATCTGGGTGAGTGACCGGGTCAAGAAGAAGTGTAGAGATACCTTATAATGTGAAATAATTAATTCATCCATTGCATTAGGAACAAAATAAGAATAATCATCATAATAATAAAAGCGGTAAAAATGTGGAAACATTTTTTTATGAATTTGTACTAAGACTGAAATCAGTCTGATATATATTTTATGTTATTTTTCACACGTTGTTGTGTACAGGACGTGATATCAGGATGGGCTTAGGGAAGAAAGTTGCTCCCAATTCTTTGTTGTTTTTGTAATACAGTGAGTGAATGTAATATACATAAATCAAACAATTGACCAAAAATAAATTCCATTCATTCATATATTATACATGTCGCATGTGATTCAAGAGAGAGGACCTCCCTCATCCAATCAGATTTATTTTTACAAAACTCTTTCAGTTTGGACAAATCTCATCACATTTCTATGAAAATAAAAAGGTAAGATAACCCATTTTTAAAAACTATGTATGTACACAATAACAAGGAACTTATGTATCTATATCCATCCATCCATTTTCTACCCTTTAATCCATTTCTGGGTCAGGGGGGTGGCAGTCAGAGATGCCACCCAAGTCTCATAGCACCAGCCCCTCACTGACCCTCTGCAGGTGGTGAGTCCACAGGAGGACGGCTGCTCTCTGAGTGTGAGCATAGCCTTGCTCACACTCTATATGTATCTATATGAATAAACAAAATTACAATATAACTTTCTGATTGCTTGTTAATATTTGTTTGGTATTTGTAATTATATTGTGCATAAAAATCAATATATAAGAATACATGGGTGTCAGATTCAGGGTGCACCAGAGACAAAAGTAAAAAAAAAACACAAGATTAATCGTTTAAAGTTTTGATAAGCTTGTGAAAAGAAGCCGGTAGTGTGGTACCATGTCCTGCATCTCACTGAGCATTATCTTCTTCCAGGTTGAAGAAGCTGGAACATGGCCTTTCCAGGGGCCAGAAGAGTCACTGGTGATAAGAAACCCTTGATTTAACACTAGGACTCCCAGAGCAGTCATTTTGACGGCTCCCATTTAAATCAATGGAATTCTGAAAATTGAAAAACAACTGTTCCACCAGTTCTATTAAAAGTAAGACAGATTTTCACCCACTTTCACTCACCTTCACTCACTTTTAATGGTGCTAAAACTGGTGAATATAACAGTCCAAAACCACTTTAACTGCCATAGTGCAATGCTATGTAATAATTTGCTCTGGGAGTTTAAGGCAGAACTATTCACAATTCAAAAATAAAAGATAATTTAAAAATAATAAACTACATATAAGCAGAATGTGGACAATGCAAAGCTATACTCCTCAGACTCCTTCAGCCAAAGTGACACAGCGCCTAACGTCTCCTTCTGACCGGCGGCATCTGTTTTCTTAACATTCCTGATGTTTAGGGAAATATGATCAGGTGAAAGTTAGCATCATGCTGGGCTCTGATTGGTTCGTGCGTGTGCGTGTCAGTCTCAAGCTGGGCTCTGATTGGTTCAAACAGAATTCCTCTTTATGAACTCTGTGTGAGTTTCTCTTGACATTTTCACACATGAACTTTGACTGTGAGGGTTTGTGGCTCCTCTTCTAATATTACTTCTGTATAATGTTATTTTAAATTATCTTTATTAAAGCTGCACTAACTGACTTTGGGATTTTGAAGCCACGGACCCGCTGGCCTCGCTCTTTCTGCTCCCCTCCCCGCACCCACGAAGTTATCGCCCCCCACACACACACAGTGTTGAGACGGAGCTAGCCTCTCCCAATATGGATAATACATGGATATGGATTTTCACGTGGATGGCGTGACTATAGAACGATAGAACCGGGAAGCGCGGAGGAATGAGACTTTCTTTTGGATGGCTGTCTCGCTGTGTAAGCAGTAACCGGTGACAAAGACGAGAAAGTTTCAGGTTAGCTCCGCAGCTTGTTGTGCTAACTCAGCCGTCTATGCTAACGGACCTGGAGATTTCTCACGAAAGTGGGGGCTAGTGGTGCGCTGTGATTGGTCACAATCTGCGACCCGAAACACATTCTCTTCCTTGTTTCATCAAAACTCGATCGAAAATATAATGTCAGGCCAGCACAAATCTGCGCTACTTTTTCTTCAAAAGGACGTATATCCCAATGCACTACATGGACATGGATAGCATTTTTGTAATTAATACGAAAATAAAGTCAGTTAGTGCAGCTTTAACTTCAAAGTTTAAAAGGACTCATAATGTCAAATTGACTTATGAGCTTTTAATCTTGTTATATTTTCATGGATGCTAGCGTGTCACCAAACTTCGCCCACTCCTGCATGCTTTTTTGTGATCATTAGAAAAAATCATGTCAAAAGTATTGGGTGAAAATGAAACACAAAGTTTCAAACAAGATATCATTGAACGTAAGTCTAATTAATGTATTTATTATGTATTTATTTCAGTTAACGCAGGAGTCTGAAAGGTTTGATCCCATCCCAATTTAAATATGTGCTTCTCTGCTACTACAAACTTAGAATTCAGTGAAAGAATGCCAACCATGATGTTAAGACTGTAAGGATACCAACGATGATAATAAATATATACCAACAATGGTAATACAAAAATAACAAAATAACTCTAATATTAAAGTGAAGTAAATGTAACCTAAAAAATCTATCGCTCAACACTTAAGACCACAAAGTATCATGCTATGCTTTAGTTCAACTTAAATTCCTATCTGTATTAGTTGGCAAGCAGAAATCCTTTGATAGTTTGGTTGAAAATGCCGTTGCTGTCAGATGGTAGCTTTTATGAATGAGTCAGTAAATAAATGAATAAAGGAGAACAAAAACATTGACAGAATGGATGAGTCTTTCCTTTAATGATTCAGCGCTATAGCTTCTCAGTCATCCGTCTGAAGTGACAGAGCTACTATTAAAGAGTTTGCTCTACTATTACCACTCTGAGTAAACTCATGTCAAACTATCTGGATTTTGGCCAAGTCAGGGCACATGTTCAATGTCGGCCGCCGAAGAATCTGCCCAAAATTATAGCATTTTGGCGAGATCCATGATCCTCTAGTGCACACAAAGAGTGACGAGCTACCTCCCTTATGATGCTTTGTACAATGAGAGCGGCAGAAATGGAGGGGACAAGTTTGTTATATAGAAATTTGGATTTATAGATTATCATTAGATACAGTGTATGTCTACAAATGGGACAAGAGTATCCAGAAAATATGACCTCTGGAAACTGTAGGTGCCAAATCTGTGCAGCAGAGAGGTCCTTTGTGTTAACGTTGCAGCCTATGAGAATAATGTAGTGTGGTGCAGCTCATAAGAATCAGGCTGTAGTACATCAAGTGGGCTTTGAGACAGACTCACTCAACCACTGCTATTACCACAAAGGGGAAGAAACGTGAAAATACATTTCATTTGACTGGAGAAATTCCCAAAGCTATTTTGGAGGCGATACTAGTTTATAAGACTTACTTTGAGGATTCGTCTGGGTTTTCTACAGGAACACCAAGACAAATTAGGCGGGGAATGGGTTTGCAAAATGGTGTTTAAAACACTCTGATTCTGTTGTTGATGCCATAACATGGTAAAAGATGATATGTGTCATAAAGGAGCATGTCAGTCCAAAGCTCCAGTCTCAGTTGTTGGTGCAGAGGCGCAGTGACGTGGCTTCCCAGAGCAGCCCGCGGGCACAGGCCACCCTCCCTGAGTACAGGGTGCACTGTGGAGAAGAATGCAGTTCCCGTTTCACGCCCGAGGGACACTCTCTGACAGCAGAGGGAGTGTGGACTCTTGGCTCGTCTGTTTGCTTCTGACATATGACAGGTTTGTTTTTCTGATTATGACTTCATTTAGTGACGGCACCTTTGTTCATAAGAATGGTGTTTCTTATAATCTAGGTTTATTCAAGTCAGTGTGAGGAAAAGTGACGGTTCATAACTATCCTCACAAAATAAATGTAAAGAAATTGTCATTGTCAAACTGTCACTAATAACTGCGACTGTTAATACTGCTGCTACTAATACTACTACTACTTCCTTTCTTGCAGTTTTTCAGACAGAATGAAGACAGAGCAAGCAATGCATATGACAATTTGTGTCACAACAAAGACTCCAACCCACAGGTGTTAGCTAGATCAAACAACATTGACAAGACTGAAATCGCTGTGACCTTAACAACCTGATCACTTGAATCGTTCGTCAATTTTTTCAGATTCTACACTATTACTATTACAACCCCCATTGTGACATCTTTGAACTTATGAAATCACTAACTAAAGCATGTAAAATTTATCTCACAAAATATTGATGGACCATGAAAATTCCCACCAATATAAATGTACACCACCTTTAGTTTAATTGTTTGACGTCGGCCCCTGATGCAGGGTCTATCTGCCACGGCGGCGGTGGACGTGGCGTGCTGTTGGCGTGAAGTGTCCTGACATGCAGTGCAGTGCCAGCGGTGTGTTGTGACAGGAGCATTCACATTAGTCTGCTTTGACACGTCGTTTGTTATGGCTCTTCAAAGTGGAGAGCTCTTTAGATAAGCTGTCAGCGCGCGAACGGCGTATGAAGCCTCAACTTTGTCACTTTGCTCTTGAAAAGTTGTTCAAATTACTCACGTCAAATCAAATACACGCACAGTTGAGAGTTCAGTGGAGAGTGGGTGTGTCTCATCTGAAAATTTGCATTGAATAATTTCAGGGTAAGTATTGTTGTGCTTGTATCTGGCTTCTTTATATTGTTTGATGCTATTGTACAATGTTGCTTTTCAAATTAAAGGGTACATAACATGCAAATGTAACTTTTCTCTGCTTTTGAATGTTGTTTCCCCTTGTCTTTTACTCACTCAGAGCTGTTGAGTCATCTATATTCTCTTCATCGAGAAATACTAGTGCTCTCCTCTGGCCACCCAAACACACTCATTAGGCATTTTCTTTTCTCTATCTGTGATTTGTGGGGGATTCTGCATGGTAGCACCACATTTTTACTCAAAAATCCCATGATTGATAACTTCATCTATGCTCTGAGCAAAGCCTGTGGGGCCTTAATATGACGGCGTTTCTGCTGATGTTGAGTCCAGCCATACTGACATGCTAAATGTAATTACTAATAGGAGGATGGTCACTGACCTACCTGCCATTTGAGTCCTCCATCTACCACAGACCTGGGCCTGAGCTCATCAGCACCAGCCTTCACTAGCAGCATTTAAACAGTGCCTCAAAGCTCTGCATTCAGCTTGTGCAGAAACCAATCTCCTCCCCGTCACCACCTCAACAGTGGGACTCTTAATCTCAGGCTCATCACTTCAGCTTCCACCACCACCAAGGTTTAGACTGCAGGGGAGAAAGAAAATTAAATCTCAGTGACTAAGGATGCAACTATAAAGTTCCCTTTGTAAAATGAAAATTTAAATGAATAAGATTATTATTTTCATAATATTTGTCTAGGCCCAGTGACTCAGGGATTGGGCCCCTGGATTCCTGGTTTAGGTGGGTTCAGGCGGGTCCCAGGAGTCAAGAGTCACGCTACCCGTCAGTCCGTCAGCAGCAGCGCTCTGAGGCTGCACTTAGCTCAGAAACACACTGACATCCAGGACTGCAGGCTGTGTGCGGCCCACAACATGTCAACCAGGTATGAAACTGCACACACATGTACACACACACACACACACAGGTCACTGCACTCAGCATTCTCTTGTTATTGATTGTATTGATTATCTTAGCAGCCTCTCGTACATTCACTTTTTAAGGGGATCTGTCTGGTTCCAGGCTTTTTACTGCAAAGTACTGTACTGTATATGGCAGTACTGTATCTGCCAATCATAGAGATAAGTTTATCAAGCCTGGGAAAAGTATGGGATCTATATAGTAGATAGTAAGTAAGTAAGTAAGTAAGTTTTTATTTATATACCGCCTTTTCACTGCAGATCTGAGTCTCAAAGCGGTTTACAATTGTTAATTTTGGGCATTTGTCTCTCACTCCACACAGAGATGGGAGCGGGGTCGCCAGTACAGGAAGAACATGCCAGAACTATTGTACATATTTTTAGTGGTAGGGGAAACCGGAGTACCCGGAGGAAACCTACGCAGACACAGGGAGAACATGCAAACTCCACTCAGAAAGGCCCTGGTCCGACCGGGATTCGAACCCAGGACCTTCTTGCTGAGAGGCGAGAGTGCTATCCACTCAGCCACCGTGCTAATGTCATATAGATTTTTTTTCCAACAACATTAGGGTTAGGAGTCTTGGTGAAAAGTTTAATTAAAGTTATATTATTAGAGTTTGTTCAACTTAAGGCCTGAAGTGCTTTATTCAGAGATTTGATCTTTTTATTGGGATCTTTTCCTCACTATACAACAAGCTCATGGTTTGTCTGTCAAGCATTTGTCTGTAAACACAGTGCTTTTAATTTTGGTCCCATTTTTTTATGGGTTCATTAAATCTGAAACATGTAAATGTATACATGCACAATAAACCCATCTATGTCAGGTATTGTGTTTCAGAGACGACTTTGTATTTGATGTGACCATGTTTGGAATGCTCTGGATCGCCGAATACAACAGCATGTTCCATTTCCCAACAACATCCAGCAATTTGAGTAAGTAAGTAGATCATCTTCTTTAACCATAGCTGTCTCGCCTGTCCTTCCTATAGTCGTACATAGAGTGGTCAGTTCCTATCCTTGCTTCATCCATACCTGCTGTGTCGGCATTCTCTCTGTATCGATTCCCAGCCCTTTGTTCATATCATCTCCAACAGTGATGCTGAACTCAGACTCCCAAGGGGCTGACGCGGTGAACTCCAGTCAGTGTTCGCACTCATCTTAAGTCATCTGTTTCTGCGGATCCAGCCCCTGACACCGCGGCTCCTCGGTAATGAGCCTGTAAGTCTGACAGGTATGAGAGCATCCCGATGGCTCACAGCTCCAGACCTCCACCTCGGAGCAATGTAAACACTGCCCTCACCAGCTCCATCTACAAAACCATATTAATTGGCCTTTTTGGCAGTAGCGGGGATAGAAAGAGTACTACATAAAGGTGCCGTTACACTTACAATTGGGTTGAAACTAGGCTACAAGTACATTTTAAAGCTGCACTAACTGACTTTGGGATTTTGAAGCAGCAGACTCGCTGGCCTCTCTCTTTCTGCTCCCCTCCCCGCACCCACGAAGCTATCGCCCCCCACACACACCCACTGTTGGGACGAAGCTAGCGTCTCCCAATATGGATTATACATGGACATGGATTTGCACGTGGATGGCGTGACCATAGAACGATAGAACCGGGAAGCGCGGAGGAACGAGACTTTCTTTTGGATGGCTGTCTTGCTGTGTAAGCAGTAACCGGTGATGAAGAGACGAAGCTTCAGGTTAGCTCCTCGTCTTGTTGTGCTAACTCAGCCGTCTGTGCTAACGGAGACCTGTAGATTTCTCACAAAAGTGGGGGCCAGTGGTCCGCGGTGATTGGTCACAATCCGCGACCCGAAATACATTCTCTTCCTTGTTTCATCAAAACTCGATCTAAAATATAATGTCACGCCAGCACAAATCTGCGCTACTTTTTCGTCAAAAGGACGTATATCCCAATGCCCTACACGGACATGGATAGCATTTTCGTAATGAATACAAAAATAAAGTCAGTTAGTGCAGCTTTAAGTCATATTTTTATAAACTTGACCAATTAAACTGCAAAATAATACTACACATGTGAACTTCAAAGTACAGTTACATGCTGAAAGAGCTTATTTTCATTTAAATATTCTAGTTTCCACTTAATCTAAGTTCTTTGTCCCATCAAAAAGAGTGTTGCATGTTTTCATAGTAAGAAAGAACCCTGTGAGTCACTATTTGACACTATCTGAAAAGCAGATAATGTGAAAACTAGCGATAGAACTAAAATGTTACCTTTTTTGTGGATAGAATTGTTTACGTGCATGTGTGTGTGCGTGTGTGTGTGTGTGCGTGTGTGCGTGCATGTGTGTGTATTAAATTGTTTTAGATCAATATGTCTGTATTTTTGGCCCCATCACATCCTTAGATCATCCTTAGATTAAGAAAGAAAAGAGAAAAGAGGGGACCACCCTCACTCAGCCAATCAGCTCCAAATGATCAATTTGTGATTTACAGGGCTTTTTCTTACATGCCAGAGATAAAAATGTTTTTAAAGATCCCCATTAAGCAAAATAATATAATTCTTTATGTAGTTTTCTACGTTCCACCCCAGGCAGTCAAACAAAGCAGGGCATAGAGGCTTTAGATCATTCTCCGGAGCTAAAAAACGCTGATTTTTCAAATGAATTGTCAGCGAATTAGAAAAAAACCCATCTTTCGCTTTCTAACTCCGGCAATGATTCTAATAAAAGAAGCGTTTAATTAATTTGAGCCTGAGAAGGAAGAACATTTTCAGGAGATTATTGGCCCCCATTATGAGGCTAATGTAGCAAGCGTTTGATTCCAATTAGCCGCGGCCCGGAGCGGAAATGGGTCCGGTTCATAATGGCGGGGGCGGCTCTGCGCGTCTGCTCGATTACAGGGGCTCTGGTATCGCCACAACGCAGTAATTAACGGTCTACTGGAGGACCATTATCCCGAGGGGGGAGAGGGGCGAGGGGCAAGGGGCGAGGGGGGGCAGGCCCGGGACGTTGTTATCACACACACAAGGCCTGACAGGACCAGTGATGTGAACGCTGATAAAGGGAGAGGAAGTAGACACGGCGGGTTTGAGAGGAAGCGAGCTACCTGTTGTAATTCATGTGAGTTGAAGGTAAACGCTGTCTTTACTACCACTTGATTTACAGTTTTATCATCTCATCAACAATACTATCGTGTCATGACATAAGTACAGACAAAGAGGATGCAACAAAATGTTGGTGGCTAAATGTATAGAGTTACTTTAAGATCTACGTGTATCTCAGTGCGTGGAGATACTCTCTGGAACAATTAAAATGACTGAATATTGATTAAAAACATGTTCAGAAAGGATTCCGTTCAAAAATAAAATATGTATATACATCTACATATCTACACACGCACACAATAAATAAAGTAGATAAAGTGTCGTTCAGTGGACATTCTGAAATTGCAATATTGCACATTGCACATGATTGCAGTATTTACTATTTAGGGGAGATGGATAGGCTCTCATTGTGTTCTCATTGTGCAATCCACAGCGGTACTATAGGGAGAGTGATTCTCAGCATAGAGTAGGAGATGGGGAGAGGTGTAAGGTCAGAGGGTGTTTGGGCCTGTGTCTTGTCTGTGCTTTATGTTGTCTGAGCATCACAGGTTGGTTGATATATACAGTCTATGGTTGGAACCAGCAGGTATTACATATATATTTTTTGCACCATGTTTATTTTGGTGTTTTGGAAAATAAATAAAAATACTACAACATTAAGGTGACACTGTGTCCTTAGACAAAACCGAATTTAGTGCCTGTGTGTGAATGAAATGTGTTGGTGTTGGAGGGGCCTTGCATCTGCCAGTCTACCCCAGGGAACCCTCACTGGACTGGAGAGAATGAATAATGCTGAGTAACAAGCCTATGAAGCCCTGTATTAATCTAATGCAGTATTTTTATTTTTTACAACCAATATGAGTTTAAGATCTGAAGATGGGTCCCAAGGAGAGCGTTACCCCAGATACACTGAAGGACGGGTGAAAGCTGTGGGAGCTGGAAAAACAACAGAACACTGATCAGAGAAGGCAGTGGTTCTCAGATGGGGGGGACACATAAGCTGGGGAAAGGTGCAAGAAGATTTTGCAATATTTTTTTTTTTAGATTTAGTAACTTTTGTAGCCTGTATGTGAAAGTTGTGGCTAGGCAAGGCAAGGCAAGGCAAGTTTATTTGTATAGCACAATTCATACACAAGGCAACTCAAAGTGCTGAACAAGATAGCATTAAAATCATAAATAATCACAGAACATTAAAAAGAAAGATAAAAATATAAAATCCCTCAGTTGTATGCACAGCTAAACAGCACAGTTTTTAACTTGGTTTTAAACATAGTCAGAGAGGAGGCCTGTCTCACATCTTCAGGAAGAATGTTCCAGATTTTAGCAGCATGAATCTGAAAAGCAGCCTCCCCATGTTTAGTTCTGACTCTGGGCACTAACAGGAGTCCAGTCCCTGTGCTCCTCAGAGTCCTGGCTGGTTCATATGGGACTAACATGTCACTAATATATTTTGGTACGAGGCCATGGAGAGACTTGTACACAAGCAAAGCTGTTTTAAAGTCTATTCTCTGAGCCACAGGAAGCCAGTGCAGAGACCTGAGGACCGGACTAATATGGTCGTACTTCCTGGTTCTAGTCAGGACTCGAGCTGCTGCATTTTGAATGTACTGCAGCTGTTTTACAGCCTGTTTGGACAGACCTGTGAGCAGGCCATTGCAGTAGTCTAACCTACTGGAGACAAATGCATGGATAAGAATCTCCAAGTCTGCTTTAGACACTATGTTTTTGATCCTGGAAATGTTTTTTAGATGGTAAAAAGCTGCTGATGTTACTGATTTGATGTGGCTATTAAAATTTAAGTCTGAGTCCAGTATTACCCCTAGATTTCTGACCTTGTTTGAAGGTTTTAGGGAGAGAGACTGTAGATGACAGATGACGCTCTCTCTTTGTTTCTGGGGACCAAAGACAATCATTTCAGTTTTGTCTGCGTTTAGCTGAAGGAAGTTGTTTTGCATCCACTCACTGATCTGTTGGATACAGTGAAGGAGTGAGTCCACTGGTCCATGTTCTCCTGCAGTCAGTGAGACATAGATCTGAGTGTCATCTGCATAGTTATGATAGGAAACTTCGTTTCTGCGTATTAACTGACCTAACGGCAGCATGTAGAGATTGAAAAGAAGAGGTCCCAGGATCGACCCCTGTGGTACTCCACAGGTCAGGGCCATATGATCTGGCTACAGTATTAGTTTATGGAGAATACCATGTGGATGTCATTTCCCCAAACCACAATAAGTATGTAGCTAAGTAATCTTTATTTATATAGTGCCAGACCAGACCAGAGTCACAAAGCGCTTTACAATTGTTTTTGTTTTTTTCCACACAGAGGGATGGGAGCAGGGTTGCAAGGACAGAAGGTACACACCAGACCTATTGTACATGTTTTAGTGGTAGGGGAAACCGGAGCACCTGGAGGAAACTTACGCAGACAGAGGGAGAACATGCAAACTCAACACAAAAAGGCCTGGAGGTGGATTCGAAACCAGGACCTTCTTGCCGTGAAGCACAAGCGCTAACCACTGCCTACAATGCAGAATTTTGTAAAATATTGACCACATTTTATGCGTGAAAGAATCAACACTATAGATTCCTCATATCCTGACAAATCACATTATTACTGCTTTAAATGTATTTGGAAATCAGGAAGCCACAAGTTGATTACATGCATGTTTTAGGGGCAGAGTCTGAGAAGTTTGGGAACACATTATACTACAGTGAAAGAATTCTGTACTCTACGCTGTGTGAGTACAAGACACAGCATAAACTTACAGTATATGGCACAAAGATGTAAATGAAGCCGTTGTGAAAGCATGTGTCAGAATACATAGGAAATACATTTTACATCCATGTCTGAAGCACTCTCTCCCTCCCTGCCCTCTTCCACACACCGCAGCAGTTTTCACCTGTCAGACATGGCCTCATTACCTGACTGTAAGCCCCCCTTGGCCCGTTCACAGACTACAGAACAAACAAACAAACAGAGAAAGCGTGGGACAGTGTGGTGTTAGTGCAGTGGACCTGACAGCCTCTAATGAGCAGCACAAAGCTCCACATGTTCCTGCTGCTCACGCACACAGCAGCTTGTTTTACAATGCTAAACTCTATGTACAGCAGAGCAGACTATGTACACTATTAGGATGACTGTGGTTGTACGTGTATGTGGGTGTATTCTGTCTGACACTCAGTTTAGTTCAATGCATTAGGCCACATACTGTACAGTACGTGATCATTGTGAGGGCTGAGGTTGCACATTAAACCTAGACTATAGGATGAGAAGAGTTTTTAAACCGGACTAAACTTGGATAAGTGGCATGAAGTGGTCAAGGGTTCTGCATAATGGATAACTGCCCTGCAATTTCCAAAGCAGATGGCTCTCTATTTGTCATTGTCTTGATTTCCATTCAATCTGGGGTTACAAACGTTTTACTTTATTCTCTTTTTAAGTCCCTACAGAAAGTTTTGAAAATGAAAAAAACAATGTTAATGAACACACATCTCCAGAGTGTACCTTGGTCTAATTTGCATCTGTTGTCCCACATACTTATTCACCTTGAACTATTGTACATGTTTTCAGTAAAAGGAAAGGGAATAAAAGGAAATCTATGCAGAGTTGGGGAGAACATGCAAACTCAACGCATGGTTTGCATGTTCATGGTCTATGTTGACTTTTTTTAAATGCCAGAATAAAAAAATTAAAAAACAGTGTCATGGTACATATACAAAAATACAGTCTATAAAGAATGATTAAATAAAGGTAAAATTATTACAAGTACGAGTTTAATCCTACCACTGAACATTTTCCTTTTTTTTAGAGTTCAGCTTGTCAAAGCACATTTATTTTGGTCTTCAAACCCCACAAGCGGTATGTCTGCTTGTGGGGTCTGCTGTATGTTTGCTGCTGTGACCTGAAGGCCTGTGACTGATTAATACTATTATTAGCTTTTTAGAATGATCAACTTTATTTTTGCTGGACACCTGAATTTCTCCTAGAGGGATCAATGAAGTATCTATCTACTGTATGTATCTATCTATCTATCTGTCATTTAAAGCTTATTTTCTCATCTACTATAATATGCAAGTGCATAATATGGGCACAAAAACATAGAATTTTCATTGCATTTCATACATTTGGACTTGTGTTGTTTCTGTAATATTGAAGTAATCCATGCTTGCAGTGGCTCATTAATTCTGTAAATGTCCATGGAAAAGCAATATCCACTTGTGATTTCCAAAATATAGTCCAGTATGGAAATCCAGGAACTACAATGGATTTGGCCGTAAACAAATCCTATGCTTGTGTTCGTCTTCTTCTTAACTAAACAATGAGACCTTGGTTGAGGCGATCCAAACTGTAGTATTTCTATAACAGCTGCGTTTGTAGACAAGTCTCTAGCCTCGTAGTTGGTTTAGAGGTAGCAATATTGACTTTTCCACTCAACCTATCTTGCTTGGATGACGTTGCATGGCCAAACAAATGATGACGATAGCTTTCAAACAAGGGGTGCAACTTGGTATTATACCCCTGACTTTTTTAAAGACACAGACACGTAACGATGCAAAACACATGAGAAAGGAAGCAGGTTTTACCAAGCATGTAAATACACTATAATAAAAATATAAACTTAAAAAAAAAACTGAAGTCTAGTTTTTTATGATAGGCCTTTACCAAATGGTTGGGATGCCGTTTGACGGTGCTTAAAAGAGATACTCCAATGTGATAGATTGCAGATCCAAGCAGATATAGTCTCTCAAAAAGTGATCAACGGCTAAGGAAACCAGTAAAGGATTAATCTCGACATTCTGATTTCAACATTTTATTTAAAAAAATCCTCCCAGTTTAAAATCGAATCTTTCAATAGTGTGCGTTGTTTCATGATACTACCCAAGCACATCACATCCATCCATTCTATCTCTTTTGTGCAGGATGTGAGGCCAGTGAAGCAGCACTGGGGGCCCCGCACATGGTCCCCGTTGGCTCCTCTCCTCTCTCCTCGCCCACAGCTAACCGGCTCTCTCCCCTGACAATGAGCGGCTGCTTCCGGGTCAGCAGGCACTATAGGCAGGGGCCCCCGACCATGTGGCCCCCGCTCGGATGGTGTGCGGGGGCCTAATGAAGAGTCGGTGTAGCATGACGCCGTAATGTGGCCTTGATGTGTCGTTAACATTTATAGCAGCGCAGACAGGGCTCCATATGCACGCGCACTCATTGTGGCCTGTGCACGTGATTAGCAGGGGTTATAAATCTATTGAGTTCCATTGACTCTGGACGTCTGGACTAAATGTGTATTTATGGGTCTCCGAGCAGCGCGGGTGTCATTCAATTAGCAGGTCTTTAAGGGAGGTCGCAAGGATGTGGCAATGTGGGGGGAGGGGGGTCACATAATGGAAGTCTGTAAAAGGCCGCTTGTAACTAAAACACATAGATACAATTATTCTTAAATTAAATGATCCATTAATCATGTGTTTGTCTTTATTGCAGCTGTTCTCACACACATTTATTCGTTAAATGTGTCTGAAATAAGAGGTGTGTGTTTTCATGTTTGTTTTTCAATCATTTTACACTCCTACTTTGGACTCTGCATTCCTACTCATGGAAATGTTTTACATCTACTTCAGATTAAAGTTAAGGTGCACTTTATTGTCCCTGTAGGGTAATGTGTCATCAGCATTTGGCCGATCGTTTATTCCCACATAGACATCCTGTCAGCGACAATGGTTGCTACAGTCTGGCTCCAGCAGACCCATCTCCAGATGCTGATGCTTGCTCAGGATCAGGACTATCTTCACTGGAGGATTCCCTTATGGTTTATGTTTTCCTAATAAAAATGCATTGATCTTAGCACTTTTTTGCATTCTCAAAGGTGCTTCACATGGCATAGTCCATAAACACTGGCAGTAAACTACTCCTGTAGCCAGGTGCCCTGGGATAAACTGACGGAAGCAAGGTCTGTGCCATTGGCTCATTCTCAGATGGGAACATTTCAAGTAGGACCATCTGACCTTCCAGTTGCATAGAAAGCAGCATTATATTGTAATAATAGTTATGTTTATTCAATAGTCATGCTAATGTTTCAGTGCACTCTACACATTTTGCAGCAGAGGATAATTCTGAGTGAAATGATCTACAGTATGGAATTCAAAGTGTCTATCTGTAGAGGTGAGGGCTGTTTTGGCGGCATAACAAACATTTTAACATGGTTTGACTGCGATACAGCAGCAATGGTAGTAGTAGCTGCTCGGCTGTAGCTCTCATCACAAATCAAGCTTGTTTGTTTTGAATGCATCCTTTCTTCTTTTGTAAAGCTCTTTAATGTACTCACTTTTACAAATAAACTTGGCTTGCCTATCCTCATCAAAATCCTCTCATCAAACATCCTAAACCGTGTGAAATCCCTTCTCATCACCACAACAAACATCCCTTCCCAGAATTCCCCGGTGCTGTCTCCAAATCCAGATGTAAGCGTGTATAAATCAGACTTGCTTCCTCCCGAGGACAATGACTGTGTGTTTTAAACTGAGAGACTGTGAATGTAATCAGCTCCGAGCCGGTGTCACGTCAGCTTAAAGACGAGGCTACGAATCAATCAGGCGTCAATTAGAATCCGTCAAAGTGGGAATAAAGAGTGGGTCGATACAGACGTGACGAGAGATGAAGTGGTCAGCGACGGGTAGATCGGACTGATAAGAGAAGGACAAGGACACCAAGATGGACTGATGAAGAGAAGTGGAAACTGAGTATGAAAGGATAACGAGGGTGGTCCCTATAAGTTATCAAGAGGAGGTCGTTGCAATGGTTATCAGTTGTAAAGTGAACTTAAAAAAAAAAAAAAAACCTCCCCTTAGAGATAGCAGAACAGGCATTTTGGCTCGAATGAAATAATCTGTTTACATTTGTGAGGGTGAGTTTCATATATGCACATACTGTATATCACAACATTGTTCCCAATAAGAAAGGATTAAACTTCATCTTAAAACAGACAAACAACAGATTTTTGGTTCATCCACAATATTTTATGTGTTTTTGCCTAGTTGTGTATTGAGATTTTGACAATTATATCACAATGTTTCAGCGTCATTTTAATAAATCCCTTTTTGTTTTTACACATTTATACTTCGGTCAACATGTAAAGCAGCATCTTAGTTGATGTGCGCTTACACTCTCGCTCACTGAGGAACTGAAGCGTCTCACAAGAGCTAATTTGTTACATTGGTTTCATGTCACATCAAATAATCACAATTATTGCCTTATAGTTTAGGGTCGGGATCCTGATGTGAATCGTATTGGTAATGCAACCCCTATTTTTAAATATCTTTAATTGGTCTTTTTGAGCCTTCCCACAGCAAATCTTTTCTACTCATACTTTATTAATGGACAAATATATATATATACTTTAAAGAGTTTTAGTACAGTAATGTGAATTCAAACTTTTTAACGATAAGAATATTGTTCAAAAGTTGTTTTATTCCTGTTATTTACCTTCAAATGTGAAACCAAAATGATATAGACATGCATTATCATACATTTCCAAAATATTCAAATTTTGTATTTATTGGAGTGACTGTATTACTGTACAAGCTGTGAGCCAATTATCAACATTATTACAAATAAAGGTTTGATAATTCTCACCTTGTGTATAATGAGTATTTCATATATTAGTTTCACATTATAAGTCTAGTTACAGAAGTAAATGGACTTTACACCTGTAATACAGTAATTCTCCACAACTGTCAAAGTTCTCACAATATAGCAAACAAAAGTGCAACACGTCCCCGTTAAGCCCATTAAACGCTCCACTCTCCCTCACAGCTGTATTGTACCACTCTCTCTCTCACTTCAGAGCTCTCATCTGTCCTTGTAAACACAGTGGAACAAGTGGAGCTCGCGTTTCCACCTGAAGGCCCTCCCGTCTGCTCCTCCTAATCGGCAGTGTCAAACAGCGGAGGAGCATCCAGCGCTGTCGCCACGGAAACGCGCCGCCTGTCAATCACCTGCTCAGAGCCCAGGCGCGCCAGCCGGAGTGGAGGTGTGTTGTGAAAGCCGGGAATTATTCGCTTTATGAATACATATCTGTTATTTACACAGCCGTGGAGACGCCGGCCGGGAAGGTTCAGCGCCGCCGGGGCTGATGGGAAAATTACTCGCGGCTGAAGATGTTTCCATTGTAGTGGGGTACAGAGAGCGCGCAGTGCAGTGGATCGGGCTGTTATCAAAAGGCATTTATCTTTTTTCCTGATGCTACGCAGAAACAGAATGTCCTACTCTACTCCTCTCCATGTTATTACACCTTTGTTTAACTTTGACATCGAGACGTGACACATCCTTTAACCACTTTTTTTGCTGTTTCTTTCCCATTCAAAAGCTCTAATGCGCTGGAATTAGGCCGGCGTAACAGGGTACTGAAGTGCCCGGGATTTAAATTGATGCAAGTGTTTCACTTTCAAGGTCAGGGTCACTAGGACAATTCTAGTGTCAAGCAGTCATAAAAAAATACATTAAAATGGCCTCCATAATTCAAGATTTCAATAGTTAGTGTTGATGTAACGCGCAAATGGCTCCGTGTGAAACAAATGTCGCAATTAAAACTAAATTATCAGAAAAATTGAGGCAGTGAAAGTGTAAGAGCTGTTTGGTCATCAAATTCAATTATCATTCATTTAAGCTGATGAATCGTTTCTGCCATGAGTACAAGACTGAATGAGGTGTTAGGGAACGAGTGAAGACCAAAATCACTATTATAGGTTCAATAATATTAAAATTATGGGGCATACAACAAAAAGATTCCAAGATTGTCATCCATCTTGGATTGTGGCTGCGTTTTTTTCTTATCTGACAGCCTGAAACTCAAACCAGAATTGTTCCATAGACCTAGACTTGCAAAGTGACACTGAAAACAAAACCTTTGCATCCATTTGAAATAAGACACAAAAAAAACCTTGGTCCCCCACAACAGGAATTTTTACTTAAATAAAAGTAAATTGGCTGATTCATTGGACACTAGTGCAATTTATTATTCGATTGAACCATTTATCCTCTGGTTTTACTGCATGTAACCACGTAAACTAGATTCTACTGAGACAAGGGCTACAAATGCATTTAAGAGCACAAGGAAAAGACATGCTTAAAATCAAGAGATCCTATATTCGTCCCACACTAAGGAAATGTACGTGAATACTACGTACAGCACACTATGTACACAAAAAATAAAATAAAATCTATATCTTTAGCTTGATAAATAAGCAAAGTATAAAATACTCTATAGTGCAATAAATATATATATTATTGTATGTGTACATCTGTATCTGTAATACACTAATGCAAGAATGCTGGACACATAAAGGCAACTTTCATTTTGATCATTGAAGTAATTGTTTTGTTTTGTTTTTCCCTTGAGGCTTGATGTAAGGGCTTCTGCAGCGTGAAAATCATTGCATTTACCAAAATAGTTATTTTACCGTAATAGCAATTATATTTACAATTGCACTTCCAAAATTTGAGTAATAAGCCACAAGATGCCTTTGAAAGCACCCTCTGCTTGTATACTGGGACCAGAGGGGTCAAACCGGTATGGAAGCAACGCTGAAAATGAGTATTATTTTATTTTATTATTTTTTATACAATTATGCTTTGTAAACATAGTCCTTGATAAATTGTCTTGACGACTGCTTGGCTGTTATGTCGGTACTTTGATGTGATTTAACTGTGATTCATTATAGCATTATCAGCATACCAATTCTAAGTATTTTTTTATATAATGACTTTAATACAAATGTATAAATTAGTGCTGTCCATCAACTAAAATCTTTAATTGCAATTAATCACATGAATGTCATAGTTAACTCGCAATTAATTGCAAAATTATCACACAATTTTATCTATTCTTTATGTCCCTTCAAATATCATTTAATTACACTTAAAAGTAAATTGGCTTACAATGTGCTATTGTTTCACACTTCCACTTGATATAAAATAAACAATAAATGATTTCAGTAAAACCCTTCCACAATGTTGCCAGCCAACATGCTATGGGCTGCAATAAGTTTGTTCTTAGGCCCCGTTTCGATGGAGACGCTGCGCAGACGTTGCAAAGCAATGAACAGAAACGACCAGGCTCCTTATGCAAATTTCACAGCGTTCATACAAGGATGAACAACGATGTAGTTCTAGCGCCCGGCCAGTAGTGGGCAGAGGAACAGTAGTGGGCAGAGGAACTTTACAACACGACACATGCCCCCCAGCCCCCCCAGCAGTATACTCACTTCCTCAACAACGTCTTCCTCAAGCCGCCACAAAGATGTGAAAGAATGCACCAACATCATTCTGCATCTAACAGCAGCAGCAAAAATGGAAACTAAAACTAGAGCTTCATGTGGTTTTGTTTGGACAAACGAAGGAGTAGAATTCTCCTCCGTGTAGCGCTTGAAGCACACGCAGCTAGTTAGTGTACCTGCCGCCATTGTTTACGCTTGTTCTCGGCTACTGCGCATGTCCAAATGTACGTGCGGGGAAGAAGGGGTTCTTCACGTTGGTGTGAAAGAACCCCTCGCTGAGCTGTTTCACTCAGGTTCAAAAGGCATACATTTTCACTCCCCTGGAACAGTGTCCATGTGAACGGGAGTTGGCAACCGGTTCCGGTTTCTGGTTTCTGTAGTTTTCTAACGCTACTAACAGTGGCCACAGCTAAAAAAAAGTAAAGAATGTCACACAAATTATTTGAGCAAAGAAAATTAATATTTAATTGCATTAACGTGGTAAAAACACAATATTTTGGACAGCAATGGTATAGATATATGGTATAATCCATGGGTTCTGAGATTGTGGTGAAGCTAACAAAAAACAATATGTATATTCTTTTGTCAAACATGCACTTCAAAACATCTCTGCTCCGAATAACGACTTCAGGAGCGCAGCATTCCCGTTTACGTTTGACAGAAAACATGACCCCAGCATGTCGGTATTTGCGCTTATCTCTGCAGATGATTGACAGGTGGGGCTTTATTTCCCCTGAGACAACCCCTCCCCCTCCCCTTTCTTCCATTGCTCTCCGATTGGCTCTCATTACAGGGCCCTTATCAGCGCGCCCTGCTCATAAGGTTTATCTTTTTAATTATGTGTCGGCTGAAGAGGCTTCCACTAGGATGCAGTGTGAGGGGCCCCTGGGGGTCACAGCCAGCCCGCACCTTTGTGTTTGGGGGTCTATTGAGCACAGATAACCTGTTCCTCACACCTGCTTTATCATTTCCGGCCTGGATGGGGTGATTTTTTTTTTTGAGGAGTGGGCGCAGATCGCAGTTCAAGGTCAAAAAGCTCTCATTAGCGCATATCTGATGGGGAGCTCACTGCGCACACATTTGAATAACGTTGTGAATGGGGCGAGTCTGGCTTCATGGTATTTGGAGAAATACCAGTATTGTAATATTGTGGTATCGTTTTATCAAATCTGGCATCTTTATGGATTTATATGGGATTTCTAAAGGCATTTCCATTGTTCTGAGTGGCTTGCAGAAGGTAGAGAGTGATACTGGATAAAAAATATGTGATTTTCAAAGAACAGTGTGCTCCAAGATGGGAGGGAGCTAAGAGTAGGGACAGTACTGTATATTTGACCACAGTCCTTTTACTCCAATTTGTGATATAATCAACCATTTCCCCAATCTTGATTCATAAATAATAATGCATACATTTTATATAGTGCTCTTTTGGAAACTCAAAGATGTTTACCATGGCATTATTCATTCACTCCATACATGTACAGTATATCAGGGCAATAAGCCAGTCTATGCCATCAGCTCCTCCAAATACAAACAATCATTCACACTAACACTAGACTACACCAAAGGTCACCCATGCTAAGGCAAATGTTAAGCTAGGCGTTCATTAAAAGTCACTTTAACATCACGTTTTCCTTCAAAATCTGTCCAGGTATGTCAGCCTGTTGAAATTCAATTAAATTCAAATTCCATTTATTTTTGTATAGCCTTAAATCACAGCAGTAGTTATCTCGGGGGACTTAACAAAACCGTCAAAGTTGCAAACACACATCAGAGAATTAAACAATTCAAACACAAGAAATGCAATGCTAAAAACACAGCCATTGGTCCATGGGCGCGACTGACCCATGTCCATGAATAATGATAAAGTCCATAAATGTCATAAAAATGATTGTTCGATGGCAGACATAGCTTGTAAGCAGCTTGTCCAGCGCAATGTCTAACAAGGCCTTTGGTTCCACATAACCGTGTCTATCACCTGTGCTGTCAGTCCACTCCCAGCTGCTCGGTGGTCTTAGTCCTACCCCAGGTTCAAAACACTCTCCAAATCCTCACGGAGCCTGCATCGTCCCCTGGGATCTGCTCTACACTGTCATATCTCCCGCTGCTCGTCATCACAGCTGCAGCACCATCAGTCACAGAGGCCCCCCGGAGAGGCCCTTGTCCCACTGGGCCCTGTATGTCAGCAGGGGCCCAGAGCTGCCGTTTAGCCCTGATTTGTGTGAGGACCCTCAAGTGGTCACGCTCATCAGGGAGACATCAACGAGGTCAAGCGCCCCGGCAGCAGCAGAGGTTTGCAGGTCGCGAGGGAGTTTTTGCTGAGCAGACTTGTATTTGAGTATAGTGTTAAAGTAGAGTTATATATGGAGAGTTCTCAGATAGTAAGGCCTAGTTAAAGAACACATATCATACATTGTTTGAGTTTGATCCCTATGAGGGTATTATCAATTACTGTATGTACTGCACAGAATCATGATTTGATATGTTGTGAGCGGGGAATTAGTTAGATGGATCGTATTACTTTTTTGCCTTTGTTATGTGTTGAAAGTGATGTACCCCAGCTTTAATTGTTAACAGGATTGTTAACCTCTACTGTAGCATGTTATATTTTAGAACTTGAAATACTCATAATCCCAGGGCAAGATATTAAAGATAAACTTGTTCATGTGAGCACAAAGTTGTAATGAACATAAGTTCACCACAGAAACTCAATAGGATTTAGACAAGAACTTCAGGAATTAAATTTCCCAAAGTTTATATCTGGATATTCATTATCTTCCAAAATAGTCATTTTAAATGTTCTCTGCTCAAAATATCCATTCTAATTAATATATTGTTTAATGTGACGCACCTGTAAGACCAACAAAGGTCTGACTTAACTACAGACAGATTAACTATGTGTAGCGCACTGGTTAGATAGCCATAGAAGGGGGCGTTGCTACTGTAGGTATCCATGGTGAGAAAACGTGACAGCTTCTAACTTGAACCGGATCTGTTATTAAAAGTTTTGCCCAAAGTCTGGTTATTCATTTCAGGGGAGCAAAATATGTAAAGAAATCCATTTCACTAGTTCCTTGTTCTTAAAATTGTATCACTAGTTTTCAGTAGCATGTATCTTTGGCCATTTGGCATCTTCAGATCATTTGTTTAAGTCAGAAAAGGGAAAAATAGGGGACCACCCTCATTCAGCCAGGGCGTCAACTATTGACTCACAGGGATCTTTCTTGTATGCAAAAGAGATAAAAAGACTCTTTCATTTGGTACAAACAAAATGTATTGATGGAATTGATGGAATCCCAGCTTGAAGTTGTTTATCCCATGTCTGAAATTCAAACTGTCTCACTGTCTAGATTCAAATTGAACGCAGAAATAAGTAATATCACACTGTGGATTATTTAATATTCATCATTACAAACGCTGATGTTTTGGCTCAGTCTGAGAGTGCACTGTGGGGGCCCCTCACTGCCACCACCACCACCACCATCACTGAGGCCAATCACAAATCAATGTCTAGTTAGTCCAGCCGCGGGGTCAGGGGTCTAAGCACTTACCACATCAGTAAATAGACCCCCGCTGATGACTGAAATGGACACCCGGAGAAACACTTGTCATGGCCACAGAGGTGCGGGGCCCTGTCGGGTCTCAAGTGGCTGATAAAGAGAATGGATTTTCACACAAGGTCATAAGCTGTGTTTGATGCATGGACCGTACAAGCGTTAAACACATACAGTATGCAGTCTGTGGCCAATAACCCTCTAGCTCAATGAAGCCCAATAGGGAAGTACTCATAGGTTAAGATTTACTTCTACTCACTCTGGCTTTTATTTACTTACATTTAAAAGTAAATAATAATACATCTTTGTTGATATAGCACTATCAAAAACAGTGTTTACAAAGTGCTGCACAGTCAGCTTACACAATAAAAAATAGCCAATAAAAAGTCATACTAATAAAAAGTTAAAATAAGCAGAAATATAGCTTGTAGCAAGACCTTAAAGAGCTTTAAAAGTGAAAAGTAAAATCTTAAAATCAATTCTAAAAGCAGTGGAGGGATGCTAAATCACACTCACCATTTTGGGCTTAAGAATCTATGTTGTAGCGCTCTGGTATTTATATTGTGATAATGAATATAACTGTAATATGTTTTTGTAAATCCAAATATGAGCCCGAACAACTGACCTATCAGAAACCTTTAGCTAGGGAGTAGCATGAGTGGGAACAGACAAGAGCCGCTCCTGATTGGCGCTTAGTAACTTGGCTGTTGCAACAACATTTGAATTAATTATAGCTTGTTCGAGCGAGCTCAAAACACCCTCTCACCCATGAAGGGTAAAACTATGGGTGACGTCAGCCATCCTCATTCAGCCCAACGCGTCAAATGGTGACTTATTGGGCTCTTTCTTACAACTAATCAAAAGATTTAATCAGATTCATATTCACTATATTTGCCTATAAATACTTTTAGATTTGAATAAGAATACATAACATATTTTCCTATATTGTAAGTTAGGTACCATTTTAAATATATGAATAAATATAAGAAATGTGCAAAGTTATGACTACAAAGAGGAAAACTCCCATATCTGGATTTTGATCTTAATCTAACATGTCGTACGTGGTTTGTCTTTGTCTAAGGATTTACAAAGCTTACCGAGAAATTGAGACGAGGCAGTGAATGTGTTTTTCCAGTATGGAGAAGTTCCTGATATTATAGTCAGATGAAGCTGCAACTCCAAACAAGTTTTGGATAAGGGAGTAATATTGTAAAAACTGTGGAAGACAAAGAAGGATGAGTTAAAACAGACCAAAAGGCCTCCGCTGTTAAGCATAAAAGGGAGAGATAATAGGAGTTTCAAAGAAATAGTGAAACCGATTTTGGTGAAATATTGAATTCTGGGTATGTTGCTAATGAGGGAACAATGTTATAACATGTTGTTGTACGAGAAAAAGAATCTGTTTTTCACCTCATTAGTTTTCTGGTGGAGGCTCAACCATTGCAAACAAAACAATACCACCTAGCATCTACTGTATGTTTAGCATTTCACTTGAAAAAAGGTTTAACCCTATTAATCAAAGTATCTTAGTAAGAAGAGCCTGGTAATGATTTGTTGTGGTTCTTTTGACAGACAAGTTAGATGGATTACCTTGTCTTTCGGCTGCAAAGCTGCTAGCCACAAGACAACATGAATCAAGAAGATCCTGGGCTTGATCCCTGCGCCCGATGAGACCTTTCTGAGAGGAGTTTGCATGCTCCTACCATACCAAACATGACTGGTCGCTGATGGTTGGAGCACTGTGTGTGGACCGAATGGAAAATACACATAATTGTAAAGTGCTCTTTGTGGCCCTGGTCTGTGAAAAGTACTACATAAATAAAGATTACTTACTTATACTTCAAGATGAAAATCCCCCTCTACAGTATAACTATTCATTCTTTTATTTTGATAAAGCATTTTGGTCTGTGCCATTATAGATTCTGAAAGGGCACAGTCAGGGCCTCTTGGGGTAAGCAAACACCTATCCACAGGTATTCATGAATTCAAGTCATGTGGAATTGAATAGAATGTGAGCGCAGATTGTTATTTGTGTGTTTAAGTCCCACTGAGATTGCAGAATGTCTTTTTCAGGGGAGTCTTGGCCCCAGAGAGATCGGGAGTGGGGTTGGAGAGAGTGAGGTCGAGGAGGATGGGCGACTGTTTGTTTACATGTTCCCCAAACTGACTGTATGGGGAACATGTAAACTACACACAGAAAGGCCTGGAGGTGGAATCAAACTCAGGACCTTCTTGCTGTGAAGCACAAGCCCTAACCACTGCACCACTGTGTTTGGTCTGCCTTCTAGGTGAAAATAATGTGAAAACAAAATAATGTGATAATTTGAAAGATGTATTTGTGCTTGTTAGTATTTCCAATATTAATCACTTTGATGAAAATGACTGCAGTGTTAATAACGTCGTTTGTCTCTTTGAATGTCTTAAATATTATATAAATACTGTATAGAACCTTTGGTGTAAGCATGGTTCCCTCCTCAAAAATCGACATGGAATTGTGTTTTGCTCTATCCACTCTATTAGGAACTTCTGACACAAACCCATTTGAGACTTGTTGCTTTTAAAGTCTGGTGCTATGAGACTTGGGTGGCATCTCTGATTGCCACCCCCCTGACCCAGAAATGGATTAAAGGGTAAAATGGATGGATGGATGGATGCTTTTAAAGTAGTTTTGTGAATTACTCAAGTCTAAGAATGTTCTTTACAACTGTGTTCCTTTTTTTGCAACACGTCCTGAGAGATATTTAATATCATGTAAATGTTCACTATTTAACAATAGATGGAAGTGTTTCACAAGTCGAGATTTAGTATTTTTTTTACGTAAAAACAAGAACATACAAGCACACAGAGACACACACAGGCCCAGGACGGATACAAAAACAAAACATGCAAATCGGCACCAATCTGTAATCAAAACTTCATGTTGACTTTAAATATTCAAACAATGTGCCACATGTTGACAGCACTTTCTTTAGCACTGCAGACTCTTGCCGTGGACAGTTCCATATACGCAATGTCAACTCCAGATCTTTCCTTTATCCGTTACACAAGTGAAATATTCTCAACATCAGGAGAACATCCATCTCCTCTCTGTTTAATACGTCACATACAGTACATCCCATACGCATACACAACTGTCCACCGCAGACACATACAGCAGTGCGTTCAAAAGCACCTATAGCGCCTCACCAAAGACACATTCTCTGCTTGTAATGAATCCTCGGCAGCTCCATCCTTCCTGACAATAAGGTGTGCAGCCGGTGATAGGGAAGACGAGGGGAATAATTGATTTGACTCTGTAGCGCGGTGGATGGCTTTTGGCTTGGGCTGCGTGTGCGTAATCGCGGTATCCATGACAGCGCGCACAATGAGTGCTCTTAATAAGGCTAATCTGCAGCGGAGCGGGCGCGGCGCAGGAAGGCCCTTCTATTCAGCACAAATTGGTTTTTCTCAGACTTGTAGCGGGGATTAGCCGCCGGTAAAGCCCTTTTATATTCATAGGGGCTGCGTGCACTCGACATGTTTTTACACCGAGTTCAGCTTGGAGGGGCATTTGAACGCGTAAGCCGCTTTTATACTGGTGTTAAGTTTGGCTAGGCTACATGTGGTTGCTAATGTTTTGGTAACGTGGACGAGTAAAAAGTGCGAGAGTTTTGTCAGTGATGAGTCTTAGTTTAATCTGTTTGGTAGTTTGCTAAAAAACGTAATTTATCAACCCATTTCTACCCGTTTCAGGAAAACCTCAAACCCTCAAACACAAAAAAAACCCTCACACAAAAAATATACTCTTAAAACCCACATATCACAGCATCAACAACCATCAGCATCACGCCTCAAAATGTATTAAAACTGAAATCCACGTCTAAATTTGCTCTTTTTAGATAATTCACAGAGTTTGTGTCCGCCATCTTGGCTTGCATCGGCTGCCGTGACGTTACACCGGCGATCCTGATAGATTTGTTATTTTTTGCTATCTTGAAGGAGTTTGCATTGCCCTCGATCCCAGACCCTCGTGTGGAGCGTTGATTATTTTCATTTAAAAATATCAACAATTTCATATGCATACATAGATATTTTTTACAGACCGAAAGTTAAACACCTTTTTTGGCTAACTCTACAGCAGATCAGCAAAGATATATGATGATAAAATACTACACACACGTCAAATCACTCTATAAAAAAAGTTTAACACTGATATTAATAAGTACAAACATTTAGTAATTCATATAGTAACTTTTATAACTAAAGTTTAACCAATACATTTTTAGGCCTTTAAGTAAAATGTTATGGATTGTTGCTATGTCCAAGGGGAATGTCCACGTTTTTTAGTAGGAGCGCCACCTTAATTTGATAAAAATGTCAACTGGGCCAACACCTTGGATCGTAAAAGACTGAGCTGAAGTTGGCTGAATGACAAATGTTGAATTTCTCGCCACTACATTAGCGCCATTGAAGTAAATTTGCTAAACAACCTTTTTTTGAAAATGAATTCCAGAGGTTCCAGGGACTGTGGACCGTGAGCTGTGAGCTGCCTCTTCCAGATGTTCTTTCTGAATCTAGACTCTTAAACCAAGCTCTTAGAATAATGACTCTTCTGGCCCCTGGAAAAGCCATGTTCCAGCTTCTTCCGTCTGGCTGAAGAAATCGCTCTTTGAGATTTAGGACATCTCGATATGCTAGCTTCTTTCCACCAGCTGTTATCAGTCTGAACAAAGCACGTTCACTATCTTTCACTTGTATTTTAACTTCTTTTGTTTATTTAATTTCACTGTGACAATTGCTTATTTTACTTTTTTGCTTGTTCTATGTGCACTTCTCTGGTGCACACTGGGGAACTTTTGCACATGTGTTCCAATGTGGTTTTTACTGCAAATGGCAAATAAAATGAATCTGAATCTATAGGGTCATAACATAAGTTGGCGGTGGACACGTCTCCTGCTGATTCCATGAACCAAACTTGAACAGAGCAAAACAAATCGGACACATGTATCCGTCCTTTTGGTGTCACAGTATTCCGACCCGGTGCATCCATCAGCAGAAGAGCTTTGACAGACAGCAGCAGCAGCAGCAGTAGCAGCAGCAGTGTAGTCGGTCCCTGTCTAATCCTCAGCTGTTTAAGCGCTGGTTAACCCTGCGCTGGGCCTTACGCGGAGCACTGCTAACCTCACATTTGCTTCTATACACTACTCAGGGATTACGCTGTGATTTGTGTTGTTTGGTCATGCTCCGCACCCTGTTTCAAAGGTGGGATTAAACATGGGGCCGTGTGATGTGACGGGTCAGACGGCGTGGATAATGTCCGCTGTCAGAGGGGACCAGCTCAGACAAGGTAATGGTTAAAAGGGCATAGATTATACAGCAAAAATTGACTTTTTTCGGATATTTTGAGCGTGTCATAACATTGTCCTTCATCAAAAACAGACCCGGAGTTGTTATTTTGGCATTCGCGCTAATATCAAGAATTATCTGTGTAAAATGGTCTACCTTTTTCACAAAACGCTCTGTGGTGAATCTTTCCGACGTATTCCGTTATACAGAACTGTTGACAAATGCTAAATAAATGTACAGACAGGATTTCTTTGAATTGCTTTCAGTCCGACAGTTCGATCACGTATAATGGCTAGCATTGGTTTTAATTTCCACAGATTTTCCATAACATATCTTTCCTAGGTAAGGGAAGCTTATTTGTATAGCACAGTTCATAGACAAGGGAATTCAAAGTGCTTAAAGATAGAAACAATCATACAAGGCATTAAATCATAAATAATCACAGAACATTATAAAAGACAAAAGACACAAATTCCACAAATTAAGTTCTATGAAATAATTTCCCAAAGAAAAGACTGTTTAGGGACCAAAAGATGATTTTTTTTCTTTTAGATTTTTTCTTCTTCTTCCTACTCCTGTTCTTCCTTTCATGGGATGTATTACTGTTGTATTTTCTGGATATTTGTGATATTTTGTTGTATTACCATGAAAAAAGGGAACAAAAATAAATAAATAAATACAAATATATCTGTGGAATCTAACTCTAGCTCTCAAAACAGTTTGGTTCTATCACTAGTTCTCATATGCATGTCATTTTGTCCATACATATAGAACGAGAGGACCACCCTTGCTCAGC